ATCTTAAATCCTATTCACTTTTCGTCCAAGCTATCACCAACCAGAATATCTAATATAGAATTTACTTGGTCTCTAGCCTCGCGTAAAGAGAGGCTACAGAATTTCGATTTCTTTGCATGGAAGTTGTATACATTGATCATAAGAATTATCTATAAAAGACTATTGTGGAATCTGTAATGAATGTGTCTATGATATATGAATAAGAAATATATACATGTTATAAAGAACAATTTCTTTATTAAAAATAGTTTTCTCTGTATTAAAAAATTCCTTCCTTTATTTTTGAAACTTATAGAAGATTTTAAATCTTCTAAAGGAAAAATGCATTAATATCTGTACTACAAAATAGAAATGAATTTATTATCAATTTTCAGTGTCAAGTTATTTCGATACTTTTTTTTAAATTAAATATAAAATGTAGAAATTTCACAAACAAATTTCGAAAAATATTTAATACAATAAAATTTAATTTAATACAGTTATTGTGAACTGCATTAAATTCCTATATCTTGCTAATATTTTGAAACGACCCTCTAAAACCGCTTCTACGTTACGATCCGACTATTTCGAAGGCAGAATAACAAAAGCGCTCCGCAACGCGACCCCTCTCTTATATATATTCTATTTCCCCACCACTGTTCCACAAAGGTCGCGATAGTTTAATAACTCTCTAATTTATTGAAATTGTAGTAATAATTAATTAAATTTACAATATTTATAATATTCATTAATTATCTCTAAGTCACAATATGATTATTTATTAATAATCTTATATGTAATTTTTATAATTATAAAAATATTGTTAATTTACGTACTACGATATTTATATTGTTTTTCTATATGAAATAATTAACAGATTTATGAATTTGATTTTTTGTGAAGAGTGGAATTTAAATATTTCTAAATTAAATTTAATTATTTTAATTCTTTTAAATGATTATAATTAATTACTTTTTAATACGATTTTTTAATTAATTAATTTTTGAAACAAATAGTATGCATTTAAATATTTAGTCTATGTTTTAGAAGTGTAAAGACATCGTTTTTAAAAAAAAGGATCTCGAATAAAGAAATTATTGATCCCACCTTAAATCTTTCGCTTCGTGCGAATATTTCATCGAGGGTGAAAAATGTAATCTTTAGAGTTACGTGATCGGAATTTATATCTTCGTAAATATCTCTCGTGCAGACATAGCAATTTAATATACTGTCAAATATCTTATATGTTCCTATATTTTCCAAATTTTTCTCTTTCATTTTCCAAATTTCTTCTCAAAAAAAAAAATCCTTAAACATCGTAATAATGATCCAATTTCTCTTACATCTTTGTGTCCATCATATCATATATCACACGCATTATCTAGCCCTCTACAATTATCAAGGTAAGATAGATTTAGATAAATTAAAGTATCAACTTTTATTTTTTCCAAGTTCTGTTGAAAGAAATATAATTCCTTATCAAGATAAAATTTCCTTCCCTTTAAAAATGTGACACGTGTCTGTTTTCCATTTGATCTCTTAATTCTCGACTATTTCGAGCATTTATATCATCAATTAACGACTTTTTTGCCACGTCCACGGTCCCTGTCCGTCCGTACAAAGGTTGACAGCTGAATTTCTTCGAGTGGTAGTCTTGTAACCGTCTAGCAAACTGCCATCTCTAAAATGTAGCAGGTGGCCGTGTCATCGCGAAGTTAAAAAACCAGCATGTCGCCGGAACAGACCTCGCAAATGCCGATTACGCTCTTTTTCCCTCTTTTAGCCATTCCTTCGCTGATAATTTCGCATTTTTCCACAATTTATTCGCGAAATCCTGAATATTCGAAAAGATACGTATCGAACATGGAACGAACAACGGAAACTTTTCGCATTCTTCTCATCGTCTCGCGTGCATTTCTTCGTGGTTTCTCATCGTGGAACAGAAATGCCGGAAATGCTCGTTTTATAAACGGCGTTCAAAGTGAATTCGGCCAGCGTTTAACGGCGAAATAAACAGATTTTGCTTTCCGATATTTTCTCTCGTCACTTTTCATTTTTCCGTCATTTCATTTTTGATTTTAATCGATTATAATAATTTAATGGAACAATTTAATGGAATTTGATTAATATTGACAAGTATTATAATTAAATCGATTGATCAATTCCGATGATGGAAAGAATTTCTATACAATTTTATTTTGATTTATGGTGCTTTAAAAAAAAGAAGAAAATTTTATAACACATTAATTTTCATAATTGTTGAGAAAAATCCTACCAAGATATTAATACATCATTTTTGATTTTATATATTAAAGAATAATTATTGAGAAAAATATCGAATATTTTAATTAAATAAGAGATATATTTTAAGTTATCCCCATTATTCTATAACGAATGTATTAAATATTATTTCCTATTTATTCGAAATTTTAATATTTTCCTCTTTATTATATTGCAGACAATTCATCTTTTAATCGATCTTCTCTGCGATGCTCTATCACTGATACGAGAAAATATAAACTTTCATACAGGAAGCTCGAAGTTGACAATAGAGGTCAGACAGAAGTTCTTCCTTCCATTCTTCGCGATCGCATTCTCTTCCGCGCTTTTTATCCATAACTCGTTTCCAAAGAATTATCGCGAAAGAAAAACGAAAAATTCGTAAAATTTATGCATAAATGATATTCTCTCGTTTCCCTTTATATAAGAAACAACTCGTTAAGCCGCTTAAAAAAGTATATATTCACTCGTAAACGAACGGAAGAAAAGGGATTTCAATAATCCTGAATTTGATGTATATTTGATTATCTTTGCAAAGAATAAATCTATAAATGTTTCTATATAAAGAAAAATAACAATTTAAATACTTGCAATTTCATGATGGAAATAATTATTATTCGAGAAGAATTATGTTTTTTCAAAGCCATTTTGAAATTCAACTCATCTTCTATTGTATCGATTTCTTCCCAATTATCAAAACGAATATATTCGCTAACATAATATATTAATCATCCAGCTCTCGTTACGATAATAATATTATTTTATACACGTAATGCAACATTTGTGTAATAATATCCGAAGAAAATCAATAGATTATAAAATTTGTTATTTATCATTACTGCTACAGTATCATTATTAATACTATTATTATTATTATTAAATTCAATATATACGATATTTATAAAACTGTATAGAGAAGAATAATAATAAACAATAACGTTTCCACGACGATCGTCAATGCATTTAAAACAACCCTCCTCGACAAATCATACAAACAACAAATTTCTAATGTACAAACAATTTTCACAAACAATGGGAGAACAATGAATTCACTTATACTTTTGGAAAATTCGCTTTCAAACCTTCTCATCCACCAAACTCGTTACCCATTCATAAGAGAATTAATTAACACCGATAATTCGTGACTCGTTATAAAAATTTCGCTAATAATATTACCTACTTCAATCCTACACGAGTGCCCTAGCTTTCAACGTGGTCGAACAAAAACTCGAGTTCTAAAAAGATTCAACAACCATTCATCGAGGAATCTTAGTTTTTAACGAGAGACGGTTCGAGCACCAGCCACGAGTCGCGAATAAAAATCATGAACAACGTGCACACCACGATGTTCACGAGAATCACGTGAGAGAGAAAGGATGAAACGGTGTCGGGCGTGGAAACGAATAAAAAGTACAATCGTGGAGGGACAATGGGCGGAGGAGGGAAACTCAGACAACGAACAGCCTCGATCTATTCATACAATTAAAGCGCATTCGCGTCGCGAGAGCTCCTTGTTTCCGCCTCCTTTCGAGCGGGATCGAGGTTGGATCGTGTTGCGATTATTGCGCGGATGAACCGCGTTTTAATAAAGACGACTCCTATCGCGTGTACCAACCCCCTTTTATCTTTGTCTTCCGCCTCCACGGCGTTTAACACCTGCGAGCTGAGCGCTTCCTCCTCCTCTTTACGAAAAATCGATATCGCAATTAGTCCCATCGCACCTTTGCGTACGATACTGATAGAAATTGTCGTGAAGACGGGACTCTTCACTGAAATATTAAATTTAATCAAATTATGGATGGAAGAATTAAATATTTTCATGTTTTGGAATTTGTTCATGAAATTATTAATCAAGAGTGATTGAAATAATTGGAAAAATAATTGATTGAACGAAAGATTCTTGAGATTTTTGTGTTTTGGATGAATTTATTTATCGAAGATGGATTTAATTTTGTTAAATTTTTATAATATATATATGTATATATATTAATGTTGTTTTTTATAGACAAATATTAATATGCAGGAAAATTTGCAATATTATAAACGAAATTTCAATACAATGTTCAATATAATATTGATATTAATTTTTTTTTTCTTAAAGCTAAGAAATTTGTTGAGAAAATAATGTTAAAGATTTTAGAGAGATTAAAAATAAAATTAAATTGATCGTTTGTTGGGAAAAAATTGGAAAATGGAAGAAATTCTCTACAGTTATGGATCAAAAATAACATCTGATATAAGTAGAACGAAATGATTTTTTTATATATATTCAATATGTAAGAAATATTAGTTATATCTAAAAACTTCATTTTACTGGATCATCCAGTATGTGGGAATATTAGGAAAAAACTAAATGGGTGTTACTAGTACTGCATCCGGCAACATAAGAAAAAAAAATACCTAGGATTAGAATTTCTAAAGTTTCGCATTTATCGTTTATCATTTGATTTCTTTGAAGTTTTATGAATTTTTTATTGATATTTTATAAAAATTTGAAGGAAGACAGAAATTTTAAGTTATGAAAATTAATTTTATTAATATAATCTTAGTACGAGATTGCATATGAACTCTCAGTAAGAATCTAATTAAATTGTATTCAATTACTTTTTGAAATATTTCTATTTAACGTGCCCTTATAACAATTATAAAAAAATTAGAAGTGACATAATTCACATTCTTGGTCGTAGGATAGCGCTAAATATAAGGGTGGTCAAAATCAATTTTTTATAACAGTTTCCACTCTATAGTGTACTTTTATGGTATTAATGGGAATTTTGGCTTGATAAAGGCACATCCCTGATGCAATAAAGTTTTATGACAAGAACTGTCAAAATATTAGAATATTGAATTACACGCGTTCATAATTTTTATAATGGACTTTTAGTAAATACAAAGTCACGTGAGTGTAGTATTTTGTTTTCCTCTATAGTGGTAGTAATTACACTATTTTTTTTTTTTAAGTATTGTAATTTTACGAGTGATTTTAGCTAATAAATAGATAAATAAATGAAATATAAGAATAAATTTTCTATTAAGCATTTAAAAATATATAAATTATAAAAATATTAATAATATCATATTATTTATATATTATAATTATCAGTTATATCATTTATTTTATTTGATTTTCCAATTTCACACTTATAAATGAAATGTCTAGGATTTCATCAAAGGAGTATTTTACCCCGACATTTATAATGTCATCTGTACAACGGGCTTTTACTCAAAAATTGAGTAAACAGCATGCAGCTGACGTTAGACGTCAGATTGCTACCTCTACCTCATATTCTCGTGATCTATCAAAAAGTGGCAGTTCATTTTCAGGCTTTTCTTCTACGGTATATATTTAATATTCTATTTTCTATAATTATAATCTAAAATTATAATCTATAAATTATAATTTTCTACATCAATCTAATTAATATAAATATCTTTAAAGATGTCACTTTGTGAGGTATTAGAACCATTGGATTATGAAGAATTCTTGGCTCAACATCAGTCAGTTCTTGATCGTGACCCTCTTAAATCAATATTAGATTTTCCACCTGGAGATGTTGAGTTAAAAGTTGTAACAAGAAAAATCAGAACAGAAGAGCCAGTTGTGCCTCATGAGTCTTTGTAAGATTTTTTTTTATATTTATAATTAATTAAGTCAGTATCACTATTCTAATAATTTAAAACTTATAAAATTTTTTAGAAATACAGTATCACCATATGTCAGAAGATGTATTGAAAGTTTTACCTCAGACTGGATAGTTGTACATAGAAAATATAAACGTAGAGTTTCTCCTATAGCAAGAGATAGACTACTTCAAGATACTCCAAGACAAGATTTTGAGGTGTTTGATTAAGAATAAAATTTGTATGTCAAATAATTAAAAAATATATATAAAATAAATGTAAAACAGGTGGATCAAGAGGATACAAATGGTTCAGGATCACCAAATGAAGAGGAAGATTTATCTAATTGTGGAGATACACCAAGAGGATCTTGGGCAAGTTTGGATTTAAGACATTCACAACACGACCCTCTTCTTCCAAGTTTATTGGACAGAGTTTGTCCAGAAACTATTGATCAAATGAATGAACAAAAACGATCAGAAGATCGTCAAGTGAGTAAATATGAACAAAATCAAATTTTACTAATTCTAATTCATTGATATTTATTTTAGGAAGCATTATTTCCTCTTTATACACCTCCAACTTCTCCTGACGATGAATGGCAAGAGATCGGTATAGCTCCTGAACCAACAGAACCTTTTTCCCATAAGATTCTTGTCAAATGTCTTCAATTGAAATTGGAATTGGAAGTTGAACCTATTTTTGCAAGTTTAGCTTTATATGATGCTAAAGAAAAAAAGAAGGTATTTGAGGATATATATATATATGATGTATATGTGTATCTCTTTTCAAATACATTTTAAATTTTTAGGTATCTGAAAACTTTTATGTAGATATGAATTCTGAAGGTTTAAAGAGGATGCTTGGTAGTCATATTGCATACAGTGATGCTAGTACTTTGGCCAGAAGCTGTGTTATGAGTATCAGTAAACCTAGTCCAGATTTATTTTTAGTTGTTAGACTTGAGAAAGTATTGCAAGGTGATATCTCAGAATGTGCTGAACCATATTTACGTGAAGATAAAAATAAAGAAAAAGTAATCATACAAATTGTAACTTATTAAACTGTTAATATATTTTATAGGTAATAAAACTAAAAAATTGAATTCAAAATAGGTAAGAGCAGCTGCTGCAGCTGCATGTGAACGTTTAGGTCGATACAGAATGCCTCTTGCATGGACTGCTATTCATCTTTCTGGTGTGATAGGAGGTGGTGGAGATACAGATAGCACAGGAAGTGCTGGATCTTTAGATAGAAAATCAGGTGGATTGGAACAATGGCGTAAAAAGGTAGAACCTCCAGCAAGAAGAGGATCTTTAGAAAGAAGAAGTTCGGATAAAAGACGTAGTTGGTCACCAGACGATTTTGCTAATTGCCTTGATACATTTAGGTAAATATTTTTATAATTTATTTTATTTCAAATATATCTATTATTTTTAAGTAAACATTAAATTGTATATTTAATTTTGTAGGCCTATTACATTAACTGTTTCAAGTTTCTTCAAGCAAGAGAGCGAACGTCTGAGAGACGAAGATTTATATAAACTTTTAGTCGAATTACGAAGACCTGGTTCTAATTTAAAGCGATTAAAATGTCTACCAGGAATATTGAAATTGGATCTTAGTCCTAGACCCGAAGAACTACCTAGATGCTTGGATCCTGATCTTAGAAGATTAATTCCATATCCAGATGAGAAAAGTCGACCAGTTAAAGAGATACTTGAATTTCCAAGTGAAGTTATTTCACCTGATTTGACATATCGAAATCTTCTATACATTTATCCAAAGGCAAATAATCATTTAACTATTTATTTTTTATTTTCAATTTAAAATTAATTAATTAATTAATAAAATCTTATATCACAGGAAGCAAATTTTAGCTCTAGAACTGGTTCAGCTCGAAATATTGCCGTAAGAATTCAATTGATGGGCGGTGAACAAGAAGCTGATGCACTTACAGCCATTTTCGGGAGATCATCGTGCCCAGAAATGACTCACGAATGCTTTACTTCTGTATCTTATCACAATAAGAATCCAAACTTTTACGATGAAGTAAAGATTCGACTTCCTGCCGATTTGAGTGCAAAACATCATTTGCTATTCACGTTTTATCATATCAGTTGTCAAAAAAAAGCAGAACAACCAAATGTCGAGACTGCTGTGGCATATACAGTAAGAATTATAACATATAAAATATTTAATATTGAAAGAAAAATTACTTTTAATGTTTCTTGCATTTAGTGGTTACCACTTTTGAGAGATGGACACTTACAATCAGGTGAATTCAGTTTGCCTGCTATGTTGGATCCACCACCAGCAAATTACTCATATATTGCACCTGATGTTCTTCTACCTGGTACAAGATGGGTGGATGCTCATAGAGGTGTTTTTACTGTAATTTTAGAACCTGTTTCTAGTGTTCATCCCCAAGACAAATATATTGATAGGTAATACAATTCCAAAATACCAATATTCATAGAATAAATTGCAAATGTAATAAAAGTAAATAAACGTGAAATTAAAAATTATAGATTCTTATCACTCTGCGGTTTCCTGGAAACCGGCCAAGTGCCTCCGCGTATTGGTGAAGCGGGAATGGAGTCTGAATTAAAATCAGCCCTGTTGGAATTGGCAAGAGCATCCCATTCTGCCCTCGTACGATCGCTACCTCAATTGCTGGATCAATTAATATCTTTATTAGTACGACCTCCGACATTGCCGTCTCAACCACTGAATGTGGCAGCTACGGTATTCGAGGCGATAGGTTTGTTAGTCCGAAATATTACCAATCTGCCCGATGGTCAATTAGATGCTCATGGAAGACATGCACTTCTGGCTACCTACGTTGCTTATCAATGCTCTTTACCAAGAATGACTCATGCACCTGGCATTATTCGAGCTCAAAGTAATCCTGATCTACCTTTAGAAGATCTTGAAATGGAAGTACACTCACGAGGATTGGATCGAACAGCATCCATGCGTCAAGAATCACCTTCCATAAATAGCCAACCTACCAGAAGACTTTTACACGAAGAAATAGCGTTACACTGGGTCGTATCTACAGGACAAGCACGAGAATTAGCTGTTACTTACTCGTGGTTTTTCTTGGAATTAATTGTTCGTTCTATGGTTGTGACACTATCGGAAATGGGTATGTTAGATGCTCCAAGAAAGTCTAGATTTTCTCCCCAATTCTGTGATGATGTGGCTACACTTACCGCAGCACTGACCTCAGAAGTGATTTCACGTTGCGGAAAAGAGACTAGAGTACCCAATAATCTAATATCGAGTTTAGGCAATTTTCTTTCTGATCTATTATCAGTAATGGATAGAGGATTCGTTTTATCCCTGATTCGTGCTGCCTGTTGCTCTCTTTCGGATGCCTCTATGCATATTCCCGATTCAGCTGCACTTTACGCATTGAAATTGGATCTTGTGCGAACTACATGCTCTCACGAACACTATGTGGCACTAAATCTACCATTTGGGACTGGATACACATCAGGATCAGCGCCAGCTTCACCTAGTCCATCGACCGGAAGCTCTGGTAGTTTAATATCTACTCTAGTGCCTGGAGATCGAGCTAGATTTTCTGAACTTAGTCAGGAATTTCGACAACAACACTTCTTAGTAGGAATCGTTCTATCAGATTTATCTAACACTTTAGAGATACCGAATCCTATGCTCCAAAATAAGGCTATTGGAACTATACGACATCTCATGGCATGCCACGATGTAGATTCGCGATATTCTGATCCTGCTGCGAAAGCCAGAGTCGCTGCATTATATCTACCACTTCTGAACATTATAATGGATGCTCTACCTCAACTCTATCATTGGGATTCGAAAGATAAGAGTGTCTATCCTGATGAATCTGGATCTATTACACAATCTGTGGCATTAGCTATAGCTGGAGGAGTTTCTGCCGACACAGCAGGCACTCAATGCAGAGTTTCATTGAGTTCAGAGGCTACGAGACATCTTTTGATGTGTGTTTTGTGGGTACTTAAGGGATTGGAACAATCAGCATTAGCACAATGGTGCTCAGAGTTAAGTTCCAGAAGAATATTATGTCTTCTTCAAGTTTTGAATATCGCTACTGCAGCTTTTGAATATAAAGGGAAAAAAGCCTTGAAAAGATTGCCACCACAAGCTGCAGCTACGAGTGATATTCGATCTAGATTGGAGGATGTGATTCTTGGTCAAGGAAGCGCTAGAAGCGAGATGATGTTGAGAAGAAAAGAGAGAATGAGCGGGGACAAACTTAGATGGCGTAAAGATCAGATGCCCTATAGGTATAAAAAGTTTTAGATTTGTAGAAATTTTGAAACGATATTAACAAAATTTAAAATAAAAAATATAATTAATTTGGGATTTTTTTAAGATCCTGTGAACAATCTGAAGGGAGAGCTGTGGAACAAGATGCTCATATAGAAGGTGCCTTAGCAGCAGAAGCCTCTTTGGTAGTTTTGGATACTTTAGAAACAGTTGTTCAAGCTGATGGAGGAGGAGGTATATATATAGTTTTTTATCTATTCTATTATAGATATTATAGATAGATATTATAGAAATTCTATAGAAAATTCTATAATTTTGCATTCATAAAATTGTAATATATTATAGGTGCAGTTGTAGGAGCAGTGTTAAAAGTGCTCTTGAGAGCATTAGCAAGAAATCAGAGTACATCTGTGTTGCAACATATGTTTAATACTCAACGAGCTTTGGTGTTTAAATATCATAGTGCTCTATTCGATGAGGAAAGTGAAAGATGTGGTGATTTATGTTTAACATTACTCACTAGATGCAGTTCACCCTTAAGTGCTGTTCGTAGTCATGCTGCTGCAAGTCTTTATTTATTAATGAGACAAAATTTCGAAATTGGAAATGTAATTATTTAATAATCCATTTTAATTTATTTATTATAATATAATATATTATTATTAATATATATTAATATATATTATAATAATTTAATATTTTTCCAGAATTTTGCTAGAGTAAAAATGCAAGTTACAACATCTTTGTCAGCTCTTGTTGGAAGAGGAAGAGCTCCAAGTGAAGGAGCACTTAGAAGAGCATTGAAAACAGTATTGGTTTATGCTGAGAGGGATACAGAACTTGCAGATACAAGTTTTCCAGAACAAGTGAAAGATCTTTTGTTCAATCTGCACATGATATTATCTGATACTGTTAAAATGAAAGAATTTCAAGAAGATCCAGAAATGCTTTTAGATCTCATGTACAGGTAATTGTATTAAAATTAAAATGTATCAATAAGATGTGAATTATGGTGGATTAAAATAAAAAATTTCATAGAATTGCAAAAGGTTATCAAGGTTCACCAGACCTTAGACTCACTTGGCTGGCAAATATGGCTCAACAACATATGGAAAGAAAGAATCATACGGAAGCAGCTATGTGTTTGGTGCACAGTGCTGCTTTGGTAGCAGAATATTTACATCTTTTGGAACCAGGAGGTGGAGGGCGACCAGTAGGAGCTGTCGCTTTAGCACCTGTTACTCCAAATGCTTTAGAAGAAAGTGCAGTGGGTGATGATGTGTTAGCAAGAAGAGAGGAAGGTTTATGTTTAGGACCAGATTTTTCAGAAAGTGGCCTAGCTGGTTTATTAGAACATGCTGCTAATTCTTTTCATGCAGCTGGAATGTATGAAGCAATTCCTGATGTATATAGAGTGCTGCTTCCAATAGCAGAAGCTGCACATGATTACAAGAAATTAGCTAATATTCATGGGTATGATATTCTTCATTTTTTGAAGAATTTATTGTTAAAATGAATTATTTTAATTTAATTTAATTTAATGTATAATTCCTCTGATTATAGGAAACTTCATGAAGCATATACACGAGTAGAACAATTAGCAGGAAAGCGAGTATTTGGAACATATTTCAGAGTAGGATTTTATGGTGGACGTTTTGGTGATCTTGCTGGTGAAGAGTTTGTTTATAAAGAACCAACTTTAACGAAATTACCAGAAATATTTTCGAGACTTGAAAATTTTTATGCTGAACGATTTGGTAACGAGAACATTGTAATAATAAAAGATTCGAATCCTGTGGATCCTAGCAAGTTAGAACCAGATAAAGCTTATGTTCAAATTACATATGTGGAACCATATTTTGAACCACATGAATTAAGACATAGGCCAACTATTTTTCATAGAAATTTTAATATCAGTGAGTGCTATTTTAAATAACAACATACAATTTTGTTTTAATTTCTTATTGTAATAATTTTAATTTATGTTTAGAACGATTTGTATATGCAACACCATTTACACCTGGGGGTAAAGCTCATGGAGAATTAAGAGAACAGTGCAAACGTAAAACTATTCTAACAGTTGCTACACATTTTCCATATTTAAAAACAAGAATTCGTGTAGTTGCTAGAAAACAAATAGTTTTAAGTCCAATTGAAGTTGCAATTGAAGATATACAAAAGAAAACTGCAGAGGTATGCATAAAAAAACAATTAATTATCTTATTATCTTTGTACATTGTTTATATGTGTATATATATACTTGAAACTATTGAATCAGGTTGCTGCAGCAACAGCTCAAGAACCACCAGATGCAAAGATGTTGCAAATGGTTCTTCAAGGTTGCATTGGAACAACAGTTAATCAAGGACCTGCAGAAGTTGCAGTTGTATTTCTTTCTGGTTTAAGAGAACAGAATGCACAGCCTACTAGACTGCAGCATAAATTACGATTATGTTTCAAAGATTTCTCAAAGAAATGTTTGGATGCTTTGAGAAGAAATAAAAATTTGATTGGACCAGATCAAAGAGATTATCAACGAGAATTAGAAAGAAATTACCAAAGATTAACAGAAAGGCTTTCTCCTCTTATTGCATGGAGGTATGGGAAATTTAATTAAAATAAAATAATTTATTCTAATTTTTTTCTTACATGTTTATTTTTTTATTTTATATTTTTATAATATAGTGGACCCTCATTAGCAAATCAACAAAATCTGCCATCAACATCTCCACGTTGGTAAAATGATTTAATTCTGCTAATGAACAATTACCAAAGATCACTAATGCAAGTATTTAGTGTTCATAAAATATCAGCAGTGTGTGCTCTTTACGATATTGAAATAGACATGCATATTATATTTATATCTATTCACTTTTTATAATGATAAAGCATTTTGAGCTACTTTGCCTTAGATATTTTAAAAGCATAAAACAATTTCGTACTATATTTATATGTAAAATAAAATTAGGCTATTATATTAGAATCAATTACTAATTTGCTAATTAGAGAAAAACAAAAACAACTCATTTCGTACCATCAATTTTTTGATAATAATAAAATAGAATTCCTAATTTATATAGGAATTGCTTTTTTCCTCTTAAATAAATATATAGGAATTGAAATTTTATTTTATATAGCTTTTTATACACTGCTTTTAATTAAATTTTAACAATTAATATAGATAGGCAAGAATATCAATATTAAATTTGTAACAATAATTTTATGTAACTGTCTTTTTAATAATTATATAAGTATTATTTTCAATTATATATGACACATTTTTACAGCTAATAACTTGTAAGAATATTTAATATGAATTTATGAACTAATTTATTTTACATAATGATGCATAATTTACTATTTAGTATATAGAAACTAAATGTTTATTCATATACTTAACTAATATGAAAGCTGTGATTTTTCAATTAAACATGAAATGATAAATATTATCTCGAAATGATTGTAGAAACTTGTAATAATAGATTTTTTTTGCAAAAATACGTCTTTTTATAATAGATGAATAAATTCAGTTATTTACAACAATATAATTTATATTTTAATAAGAAAATTTATTTTATTTATGACTAATATTTTATATGTGACTAAATCTATTATTAAAAGTTTCTTCAATATTTCAGAATGTCAAAAACAATTAATTCAGTATAAAAAATGTTTGAAGAATGGTAAATTATAACAATATATGATTAAAATCATATTTGCTTTTACTATACTAAATATTTTAACAAACTATCAAATTTTCTAAAACTATAAGCTTCTAATCAAAAAAGCAAGCAATCTTATATCTAATTATAGCAATTATAGCATGATTCATTAAATTATAATTATAATGTTCAATTTAAATATGCATATTGATAACATAAATAAATATATGTTAAGATATAATATTGAAAAATGATAAAATGATATATATTATTTCCATATAAATTACTTTATGCAATTAAATTTATTATTGTAATATTAAAAATGCTTTTTGAATCTTCTTCAAACATTTATAAAATACGTTAGAAAGTTGCTACTACGGATAGCAATATACTTATATAAAATAATTTAGCGAAACTGCCGTGGATGTAAACTTTTTGTATGTCAGAATATTCAAAATATATATCCATTTTATACTTCGCTATTTTTGAACTTTTCTTATTCTATTAAAAGGTAAAAATAATAAAAATATGACTCACCGAAAAGCTCCCACTGCAACAATTTCAAAGTCCGGTAAAGAAAGAGGGCGTTGTTTCTTCTTGCATACGTATCATTAGATACATTTGAAAGAAAAATTACTAGTCAAATAGCAAACAAAATAAGAAATATAAAACAAAGATTGTTTATTAATTTAATTAAAAAATATATTTTATGTATTTCTTTTTTTTATATATATAAAAATAATTAAATTAAACGTAATTTATTTCTTCGACAATTTATCACGGAAATTGAAAATTTTAAAAAATGCGGGAAAATATTCAAATGATTTAAAAACAAATAATTTGAATTATAACATACATGAATTGTATTTCATAGTTATATTTCGTAGTATAGTTTATTCGTTTAACACAACTCGTTAGTCACTACAATCAATCGATAAAAATAAATGAATAATTAAAATAAAAAGACGAATAATAGATAAAATGATCGTATTCGGAAATGGGAATCGTGTGTTAATTATCGGAACGTTTACAGTTTACACGTGCAATTGTTTTTTTTTTTTTTTCCTTTTTTTCATTAAAGCTATTCATTATCGAAGGTTCATATTCTTTGGCTCGGATACATTTAAAGCGCGCTGTTACTCTAAATTAAACGTTCGAATCCGATTTTCGGCTTAATCTCTTTGTCTGTAACGAAAGGTTTGCGCGTAGATAAAGATATCAAAAGTTCAAAGGGGTACTTAATTAACACACACAAGTATTGATGTATATACGTATTACAATGAAACATTTTGAAATGAAACCATCTGAAAATAGTCCTGAATATTTTCAATTATAAAATGACCATTTAAAATTATTATTTCAATTTCGTTACATTCCATGCAGAAATTAGCTACTATTGAAGATAAAAGATTATAAATTTAACGCGAGAACATTGAATTTTGATATCGTGGAAATTTAATAGAAATAAAAATTACGAGAATTTTATTCTACATTTATTTTTTATTCAAACTTGTATTACTGTATCATTTTACTCATCAACTTGTAATAATTTTTAATAAATATATTTCTTTATTTTAAAAAAAAAGATAATAAAATTTTCTCGAAAACAGCAGAAAAGATGTTACAAAAAAATTATTCGTAAAAATTTTTGACCAATCTTTTGTAAATCAAAGCAATTGCGATCGATTATCTTATAAACAAAAAAAAAAAAAGAAACTATATCACAAAAAGTGATTGACTTCTTCACAATCACTTTTCATTTCGTGAAATTACGAGTCATATATCGGTGTACAAAAGCGAATACATAAAAATTATTCGAATGTCTCCGGAAAAAATAATATTCCCCAAGAGCCCTTGTTGCGAGGAATGCAGCCAACATAACCGGCAGTTCTAATCGGCGTATCGTCGGTCGCTAATCCGTCTAATCTGTCCCCAAAATGAAATAGTTGCGATTCTTTCAATGGCGTGGACCACCCTCGCGACGCGTTTAAGTGGCTGGAAACACTTGACCCCCGTGAAACGACAAACGGGGGGGATGGTGGACTAGTAGTTTACAGCAAGGGGGATCGCGTTCGAGGGACAAAGTGACTGTCGAAGATACGATCGTTCTTCCCTTTAATCGGCCACGGCAACATGCCGGCTGACCTTTGATCCGGCACCCTCCCGCGCGCAAGAAACGTTTAATGAATCCACGCCAAATTCCTGATGCTTTGCCCCGCTCGTTAACGCGTACACATCGTTGGATGTATCGAGTTTGATCGATTCAGCATCCGTGTATGACGTAAACGACGAAGCATAAAATCATCGTGTTTCTGAAACTTTGGATCAATCTTAGGAATTTTCTTAATAATTCAAATTACCTCTGGATTTATTTTATCTATACATTACTGTCCAAATATTGACATTACATTTTGATCAATTACAAATATTATAAAGGATAAATTCAGGATGATTATTTTGTTTAATTCGCATAAATGGTGCTTCATTCTATTTCTTAATAATTCATATTAGACGAAATATATTTTATCATTCATTCTGAAATGGAATTGAGCATAGGATTTTTTCTGCAAGTGTAAATTAATTTCTCGAGAAATTAACTAGATGGATGTGCAAGTTTAGCTAATCGATTCAAGAGGAAAATAATAATATCTTTTCACGCAAAATCTTTTATTCCTGAAAGCATCTTTCGTTCAATGACAATACGAAAAGTGGAAAAAAACGAAGAGGGTAATAAGGATTAAACAACAATAAAGAACTCGAAACGATAGAAATAAATAGATTCACACAACAATTCCCCGTTATATTTTCCAAAAGAGATATTAAATTACACTCGATTAGTAAATACGAAAAAATCCGTTTACAAAAAGCTAACAAGCCTTCCAAGAATTTTTGCGACTTTATTCCACTTCGATCCATGTAACCAACCCTCCTCGCAACTCTCCTAATCCCATCGTTAATTACACACTTTCCGTGCATAATCCGCGCTCGTGCTCGCAGAAAGGATACACGTTCGCGAGAAAAATTCGTGGACGTGGAACGTAACACAATAACGGACGTGGGTCCGCATCGTTGCTCCCTCGACGCTTTTTGATTCACCTACGTGCCTCCACGATCCCTCCATTTCTCGAGGTGGGGTCGTAGCAGAAAGAGCGGGAGGGAGTGGTGACTTTTATTACCCCGTCTGATGTTATGAATGCGCGCTGTACGCAACCCCTCTCTCTACGCCCCCCCACGTTCCCTTCCACCAAAGCGGTTATGCTTTTTACGACATGTATATTCGTGGTCGCGATTAGCGACAGCTATAAACCGAGGAAATATTCCAAGCTCCACTTTTCGGGAGCAGGATATCGGGGATGTGAATAATTGATCCGAAAATTCGAGGGAGTTTCTCTCCCATATTTTGTACACGTGGTAAAGTTATTTTTGTATTTTGGAGAATGGAATATTGAGAATATTAATTTTCTACGTTAAACTATCTATCGTCTGATGTAGATCAAGCTTAATACTTCTAAGAAAAATTTGTTAATTTACGTTTAAATCCGATTCTAAAATCTCTCTCTTAGGTTTATAACAATTATTGATTCATTTAGAAACTTGATTACGAAAGATGATCAAGTATCATAAATACAAATATTCATATTTCTGATTCAAGAAATGATTTTCCGCTTACTTTTATCCCAAGTCTTGTTCCCTCGAAGAACGTTCGTAGCTGCCGCTAGACGACGTTTGAATGAGATTGCATCGTTATTGAAGCTCCTCCTCGGCCCGTGATCGAAGTTATGATGTATGATGGCCGGTCCCAGAGATGCAGGTGCAGTTGGACGTCGACGACGACTAATTGTAACGAAAATATTTGTATGCTTCTCGCCCCTTAATAACGGGAGCATCGGTCATGCCGTTCGGTGACAACGAATCTCGGAAGAATATTGCAATTTGTCGCTTCGTTGTACGATAAATTAAACGGGTCACCACTTGTTATCGCATCTACAACGTTAATTGGTTCGGCCCGACGTTGTGTGCCTCTCGTTGCTTCTCCTCTCGTCGACCATTGAACAGTGCCGTGCAATAATCTTCCGCTTTGCGGGTTTTATACCGCGCCTTCCACTTCTTGTAAC